CTGCATTTCCCGTCGACTTTCAAAAGCCGAACGTGGATATTCTCAGACTCAACGAGAAGCACTTGCTGTATATTGGGCTATCAAACGGCTTCATAAATATGTTTTTGGATTGAACTTTACCATTGCTACTGATCATGAGGCTTTGAAGTTCTTGTATCATCCAACGAAGTCTCTGGCGAAGTCATCTGCCGCTATGGTGCAACGGTGGATTATTGCATTGAGTTCTTACACCTACACAGTAGTTCATCGTAGTGCGAAAATGATTCCTCATGTCGATTTTTTGTCAAGAATTCTATCATGTGACTCTGATTCAAACAACTCAGATTGTCTACTGATTCAACCATTACCAGTCAAGCGGGATGTGCTTGTTGCTGACACTAAAGGATATTTCGCTCCCATTTTCTCTGCACTGCGACGTGGCTGGACGCAGCAAGAAGGACGCCGATTTCCTGCTTTTTACTGTCGCCGCGAAAGCTTGTCCGTTACTCCGGGTGGTTTGCTGTGTTTTGAGGATAGAGTTGTCATTCCACCGACTCAGCGAGCGGCTGTTCTTGCAGATTTACACTCTGGTCATCTGGGTGTCGATAAAATGAAATCCCTTGCACGCTTGTCATGCTGGTGGCCGGAACTGGATGCTGATATCAAGCATACTGCTAAGAATTGTGTTAAGTGTGCACATAAGATTCATAACAAGTCTTCACAGTGGCATCCGTGGCCAGTTACTTGTGAAGCATTTCAACGAGTTCATGCTGATTGCTGTGGTCCTTTCCTCGGTAAATACTATGCTTTAATTGTTATTGACGCATATTCCCGTTGGCCTGAAGTTTTTGTAACTACTTCTCCAAGTGCCGAATTCACTCAGCAAGCCTTGAGGAAAGTATTCAGCCACGAAGGTGTACCAGCTGTTTTGGTCACTGACAACGGCACACACTTCACTGCAAACTTCCTCGAGGAATGGTTGAAGGGTCTTTGTTGTCGACATCTGTTTACTGCTCCGCGACATCCCCAGTCGAATGGACTTGCTGAAAATTTTGTCCGAATACTTAAATCTGCTATTATTTCACTCTCTCCCACTACTTTTGTGGAATTGGACCGTGGGATTGATAATTTTCTAATGCAATACAGGAACGCCGTCCATTCCGTTACTGGGAAGAGTCCCGCGCTTCTATTTAAATCTCGTTCGTTACGTACAATTCTTGACCGTGGCAAAACGGCTGATGTTACATTTTTCAAGGGTAATGATTTACAACCCGCAACAGGAATAGTGCTTTGATCAAATGGCAAACGAATGGTCACAGTTCTCGATTTGGATGATCTCTCTTGTCATCGGAGCACATTGACCAGGTTGAGTTCAATACCAGAGGTCAGTCTGTTAACGGCACTCCTGCTGTTTCAAATACTAATGAGTCCTTTGTAGATGATCTTGTGGTATCCGAACAAAATGCTGTATCTGAAGAACGTACTACATGTGAAGACCCTGAAGTTTCTATTCCGAGAAGATCCGAAAGATTGCGGTCAAGACCACCACTGGACTATAAACACCCGCACGCTCATTCAAGGTGTGGCGGATGTGATGAACATGATTGATGCTCTATTCATTGCTCTATTCATTATTCTCTTGTTTTAATATTCCATATGCTGTACATATTCGCCAATTCGAATACATACGTGCTGGTTGCCACTCTTCGCTGAATTCTGGATTTCTGGTTTGTCGGGTTATACCGATATACGTACGAAACTTAATTCCCACAGGTATATTTCTGCTGTCGGAAAACTGAGCAGCGTTCGAAAACGACCAGTCCCAAATGTCTGATCACGTCCCGTAAGCATAATGATCCCCCAAAAGATTCGAAAGAGAAGAATAACTCTTCTGGAGAAATACACTCACTTGCAAATCAATTTGGTCTTCACGAGAGACTCAACTGAATCTCTACATTCTACAACTGAATGTGCTGCACACAGGCCGCCTCATGTTTCATTCGTTACGATATTCGAGATATCGCAGTACGTTTCCTTTATGAAAATAACTCTTCTTCTTTCTTCATGCAAATGATGCACAGTAAATTCAAGAAGGCTCTTCTGTGTGGAACAGGCACAGTTGGACTAGGATCACCAAATGAGTGGTTCTGGCGACAGTATGTATGAAGTGTGAGCACAATCTTGAGATTAGACACGTTAAAGCTGTTGTCAGGAGTCATCGGTGGTGCGTAATTCCAAATCCCGGGATATCGAATGGTGGTTGAGTTTAAAACCCTATATCTGGGTAAACCCCATCAGTATGTACGGTATTGGCCATTGATATGTTCGCTGAGCTGGGTTGTGAACGCTTCATCACCGGTGAAGGTGACATCTTCGATGGTTATGAGTAGAATCAATCAATCGGCTATAGACCGTGTACCATACGCACACTGGTTCCAGTTGCTACAGTTTCAACCACCGGAAAGTGAGAGAGTATGGGATGGACAGAAATCCAGGCCTTGAGGGCCTGGGAACAGGGCAATAACTTTGATGCAAGCGCGTCACCGACTGAGCGATTGGGCCATTTCCACCAGTGTCGTTAGCCAGGGTCTTAATCCATGGAGGTAGCAATTGTCGACCCAAATCGGTCTACCGGTTAGTATTTTCATACTTCACTGCCAGGTCATATACATGGTCGCTGGGAGAAAACAGATCTGCGAGGCAGACAATCTTCTCGCATGCGAGGTACGTGTCCCAACCAGCGTTATTTTCCCGATTCGAGAAGTAATCTCATCTTCAACCAGTCCACCAGAACTTATGCAACTGCTCAGGTGAACAAAGTTATCTGTCATGGCCACAAGCACGAGGTTTGGCTTGGATCCGACCCAGTTTTGTAGCAGCACTTTACACTTTGCAGGTTTGAGGCACCATGTGACAGAGTTACTCAGGTTATTTTAAGTGGCTTGCATTCTTGGGGGATCTGAACCAAGGGGAGCAATATGGTGTACATACTCAATTTCTGTGAGGGAGCACCCTGGGAGCATTTTCAGTCTCGAGGTTTTAGAGGCACCAACGTGGGACATCTGAAGGAGTGGTGCTGTTCAAGAATTCGTTTCGAGGTAAAGACATGGTCAATGCATCCTCGGCCAGCGTGAAACCCTGCTAGGTTCTTAAGAATCTGTCTCTCCTGATAATCGATCAACTTACGCAAAATAATGCCTGATCTAACCTTAGATGCGACGGATAATAGGCTAAGGCCACGATAATTTTCGCATGACGTTCATGCACCCTTTTTGAAGGCCGAGAAGACGGTCGGCGAGCTCCATTCGACTGGTATTCTGTTTTCGTTCCAAATCTTCTGTTAGACTGTTCACCAGGAACTCACAACCTTTTTTGAAGAGTGCGGGTACAGATCATCCAAGTCAGATGCCTTGCAGGACTGATATTTCACACTAGATTTCTGCTACTGATAGAGGGCTGGCGTAGATGTTCAATGGGTGAAAGTGCACGGACATTGTGTGTGCACGGGTTGTGGTACGATCTACTCAACCAGACCAACCTTAGTTCCTCATTGGTGAACCAAGTGAGCGTTCGTATTGGTTTGTTGACTTACTTATCCCCAAAATAGGTTGTTCAAACTTGAGCTACCAATATTCTCCTCAGTTACAAACTACACAAAGTGCCTAACTGGCCTTCTTCAATGCTTCAGTGTACTATATTTCTGCTCCGGGAACACCGAAAAAGCATGATCGTCTTGGAAAACAAGACGAAGGATCGTGATTCAAGGAACTAATCGTCAGAATGAAAGCCAAACAGCTTCTCTCTCAAGTAAAGTGCACAACTGTGTACCGTTAGAGAGAAGGATGTTCAAGAGGACAACTGCTGTACCTATAACAACCTTCATCATATCCTACCTAGTGACCTATGATCATTTGCGGTGTTTCTGGTGTTCCCGCGTTCAGGTTGTCATATCGGCTCTCACGTAAGCAACCATCTTTGTACCGTAGAGAGCTTTAATTTTGCTAGAATACATCAGTTTATCCCACCCCCTATCCAACACACTGGGGATCTGAAACTAATGGTTTGCGATGTACCCTATTAACGAAACACCTATTTTTATTTGAGTAGTTTGCCGTACAAACGTAGGACAGCGTTCCTTCCAGAGAATTTGCTCACACTCTTCCGCTGACTTACTGATTGGTAGAATGCAGGCTGGTAGCAATTCGCTCTATGTCAAGGAATGATAGCGTATCGGTAAGCCATCAAGATGGCATGTAGTTAAGTTGTTGAATAGTAGTCAGGTGTGTGTCCGCCCGCGAAGACAATCCTCCGAGACAAAGCCTCATACGATCGTTTGGGGCTGCTCAAACTCGGATGTCGTATTTATGTTCAGTTGATAGTCGGTCACAGAAAAATGAATGTAATACGATGACACGATAATAGAGACCTAAGACAACTCATGGATGTGATAACAGTGACTGAGCTTTACAATTGTGAGTTGGAAATGTGAGGAAATTTGAGAATTTTTAATAGAAAACCTATTCTGTAAGCGAAGTCAATCTATGCTGAAAAGCTAAAGAGCACTGCACAGCTGTTTCATTCTTAATCATTAGCAGTGCGTATCTGACGCCCTCCCGGTTAGTACTTTAAATACTTAAGCGTTCGGCCACAAAAAAAGCGTTGGACAAAAAAATTGCGCCAACATGTTAGTGGACTGAACTCATTGGCCTACGAGTGCATGGGTTGAAATGAATAACAGGGGGACACATTAGGCGAATGAGGTCCACCGATCAGCAACGCAATGACTTTTTGAGATGAGTCTTCTAGTTCCGTGGGACCGTAGTTAATATTCTCTATCCTCTTCAGCGAGGTGTCCTCAATTTTTACTGGAACGCCTATGATAATTCCATGGGAGGCACGTGCACCTGAGATGTCTCAGTCTGGGGGTAGCACTGGGTACAAAAAGAAACAGCAACCTTAGGGATGGTATAAAACGCAATTGCTGAATGGATGAGATCACTCACCTTCACAAGTTCTAACCGCGCTTGCAACAAATATCGATCTCCAGAAAGATTTGTATAGCTTTCAACGCCTTGCTCTAGCTGACCAAACCAATCGGACACCGATCGCCAAACTTCTGTGAGTTGATGGTGGGTATGTACGCTGGCTTCAACGCGCGCCAGTAAGGACTGAGCATGCTTGTACAGACTCATCTGGATGTTGCCCAGTTCAGGTAACGTGATCAGCGTGGAGCCATTATTGAGGGGGATGCGTAACTGTGCGTCATCGGGAATTCCCAACGCATGAACAGATTTCTCCAGGCAAAAACACCGCTCACCGATTGACTGGAACATTAGTAAAACAGGCATGTTGATCCGAAACACGTTAAACCATGACAAGAAGTACAGTATTGGGACTGTCACTCACCGCGCTATGTTCTGACATGAAAGGAACACCAGGACACCATGCTGTAGACACTGCGAAACCAAGCTAATGCTCCATGGAATAAGACAATAGACATTCGATGGAGCTCGATTTATTATTATACCATAATACTGGAAAAAAGAAGCACGAGCCAACTTTACCGCGGCCATTCAACTGCTTTACAAGCAGCTATTTCGTGAACTGGATGAGGCTCATGGTCGCGTCCATTGCAGATGCATACAAACTGAGATTTCCATGCTCACTAGGGACTTTTCAAACAAAAAATTAATTCAAACGGGCCAACTCACTGGATAGAAATGCCTTTCAAAAAGCTATATATTAAGTCGTCGTCATTAAACTGTTTAGGGTGACCCGTGAGGTTACACAACGCAGCTTTATAGTGATCTTTAGGTCCTCCAGCCATAGAGATATATAGATATCTCTATGGCTGGAGGCGTGTGAAGGAGAGTAGATGCAAGTAGAGATATCGAATGTCTATCTGCTGAAATTTCAAGTCGCTCATGTTGAGTTGCGTTCATCAACTCAGTTCGCCCTTTGTTGACTGAACTGGCACTAACGAATGTGGACCGCTCAGGGAGTACCTAGGGAATACCCTAGGAAAGCAGTATAAATAAAAACGCCTCTTTATCTTATCAGAAAGGAGACGCATCAATCGCACTGGTACTCTCGAAACACACATGAGGTTATTTCAAACAAGATACCTGAACATATTTCATGATCTTGCCAATGGCTGAAAGGGCGTTCATCCTGACTGTCAGGGCATCTGCAACCAAAGTCTCCACCGCACATGGCCAATGCGGAAGCTGAGTGCGCAGCTCTTCAACAGACAAATCATCCCAATTTGGAACACAGTCTGTGCTTGGTTGGTTCTCTGCCAGTGGTGAAAAAGCAGACTCGATGGCATTTATTTCCGATTCCAGCTGCATCAGTGTACCGTGTAAGTCATTGCAAGTGCTAGTCAGCGATTCGACCAGGGACTGTTTCGCCTTCAGACGTTCCCTTGCAAGCTGGATATCGCCGAATGCAATAGACCACTGTGCCTGCGCGTTCCGAACGAGCACCTGACTGGCGGTTAGGCCAACATGCAAAGGAAGGCGGACAATGTAGCCACTTTGTTGTCCAAGTGCTGTCAGTAGATTGGAAGCCTTCTGGTTATTGACCAAGCTCGATGTCTGATTGGCCGCCTCTTCCAACCGGGTGAGTCGTGCCCTTCCTTCGGGTTGAATTTGCTCGGTCAGTTGTGCCAGCCGATCGTTGGCTTCTTTCAAATCCACTGTTGTTAGCTGTCCATCTGGTGTGATGACCGAGGTGCTAGAAGCCAAAGCACATGGACCACCAGAAGAAGCAAGCTCTGAAGCCATACTGAGCATCCACCATTCCTTCCATTCTTTCCAACAAGCCAGTTGAGATTCCAAATTCTCTTGGCTCTCTTTGTGGAATTCGGTGATTTTCTAAAACAGAGTTGACAACATCGTTAGCAAATAAAAGTGACCCTGAGTATCACCGATTGCAAAAAACAGCCAGCCAAGTGTGATGCAATAGGTGAACTTACCTTGGACTTATCAATCAAATCTAACACGCGTTCAAGATGATCCGATTCACTGGTCATTTCATGCTCATACTGTTTCAAAACTGATTGAACTTCCGTCACCTGGACGATGGATTTGTTGAGGAATGTCTGAAAGGTAGTGGAAAGCATTTTTTATTAGGAAATGACGGAATGCTCTAAAATATACTTTCCTCATACTGTGGCTCTGTATACAGCTGTCCTTGCCTCTCGCAAACCACGTTCCTGTACAAATTACTTGTCGGCCCTCTAGCTCATTATATCATAAAAAATAATCAAACTCGTCTATCTGTGATACCCTTTTGATGTATAACCACCCGAATGAAGCACAAGGGCTAGAATACTGTCACGTTGCCCAAGTCCACACAAGGGCGGTCAACATGCTGAGGTTGGTTTGGAACCACGGACCTTCCGCTCAGCAATCTGGCGCATTAACCACTGAGCCATCTCGACGTCTCGTCATAGCACATCCCCTTAAATATGCGTCATTGGTAGCCCAAACCAGAACAAATCGGTCCCACAGACAACATGTTTCAGTGGACATTGTCGTAACGTGTGTACTGTAGCGATAGTGCTTCCTTTAATTCCCCTGCAACGTGATCTCGGTTTTGACTTCGGTCAGTAGCTGCAATTTACTATACCGACTACCTTAGTTTGCCCATTACTCGAATCAGCCGACTTGATCTCACAATTCTGACCTTGCCATTCGAAACATATGGTTTGACCCCGAACGATGTGCAGGATGATGTCATCGCAGGAAAAAACACGTACATCTGGACTGAAACTAGTGTTTTACTGGGCAAACTCTGGTTTAAAGACTTCCCGTTAATTCGGCCTATAGCTTTAAACCGATTTGAATGAAGTTGTCCAACGCTGCGAGTCACACAACTGGCTGGGGGTGGCTGACATAACAAAGATGTCCCGCCCCTCAAAGCACTTATTATTGCTGGACCCATTTTTCACCGAGACAAAGGATCTACGGCGCGATCTGCAAAGCAAGCTTCTACACTATATTTTCTCGATATCAACTCCAGAATCGCGGTTGAACAATGATTATGATAAGAGTCTAAAGACTATTTCTTCTAATAACCGACCATGCGCCGAAGAACATGAAACAAGGTCAGGGTCTTCTAAGCTTCGTTCACTCAGACTGGGTGATGTGAGCTCAACTCTTTTACCAATACGCCTGTAAGCCCGAATCTCTACCCGAAGTCCGAAGAATCTTGTTCACTAAGTTGTGAATCGGCCCTCTCTTCCCAGGTTTGATCACGTACGCTGCAGGAATACGTAGACTAATTCAACTCTACTCCTGCTTCTTACATCGCCATTAATCTTCTATCGTGGTGTACTCAATGGGGTCAGACTCAAACCTATTCTTCTTTCAAGTCTCCGCGATGGCAGTGAAGCATCAATGTTAACCTTGATGTTACTGTCTCTGATGATGATGAACTGGTTCAAGAGCCAATCACAGATGGGATGTGAGTTGATAAAGTACTCGCAGAACGTACAAGCTCACTACAAGCTCCGTGGACCTCGTGGAACCTCTGATCGGTACCCTGTCAATCGTGTATTCTCTTCGCGTGATCAGTCTTTCACAGCTTCCCGACAGAGATTCGTCCATAAATGCCGTCCCACTGCAGACAATGTTGCACTGCTGAAAGTTAAGTTTTTGCCCTCATTTAATTTCACACACAATGAACATTTTTTCTCGACTTCGATTGTTGGAATTCACATAGATAAACTGAAATGCAGGGGCTTCGTGCGTCGTTGGATCAAACACAGGATAATTCAACCTGAGCAGTTTCTTAGATAGGTTTCACTTTTTGTGATACTGTGTTGAAGTGCTGAGTTGACCACAAACGAAATGTATTGAGCTAGGAGATGACAGACAGAGTGTTGGTTCAGGATACAGGAAAAGCAACCATAATTGGTCGCAATGTTTTCGGGCTATAGGCGTTACTTAGTCTGGTAGTTAAGTATTCGAACTCGAACTGAATACCGAATGCGATTGGCTCCATTATGAGCTGGTGGTCAATTAACGACCGATCCGTTTGACAACTGAGTAATATTTACAGACGGTATCGAAAACATGAACGCATTAATCAACACACAATTAGAGGGATATCATAAATCTATTATGGAAAAACTTGAAGGTATGAATCCCTGCATAGGATATGCAGCAAAGCAACTACTCACATCCCACCAAGACACGATCTCCTTCTGTTCAACAATCATCTCCTCCAGACTTCTCTCCAAGCAAGCCTGTTCTTCATTCCGAACATGCGTCTGACTCGATTCATCCTCCTTCGATACTTGGAACAAGGAACGTTCAACTTCTATCCACTTTGGGTTGAAAGGCGTACTTGACCGAAACTCCTCTTCAACCTGCCGTAAGTTGTTGACAATCCATTGTCGGTGGGTCATCTCAGTTTGCAGCTGGTTGCGTCGCGTGACAAGGCATTCCCAAGCGGCCTTGAAATGCTGGTCAAGCTCCTCCGATGCATGTTGGACTGTGAACAGTTGTTTCTCAGCAGCTTCCACGCTTGCGGCACACTCAGACATTATATCTACGCAACCATCGGCACCGATTTGAGAGAATTTCGAGAACAGTTCCTGGGTTCCTGTTAGGACAGACTTGTATTGTTCAAAACTTTCTCGGTACTCTGGAATCAACTGATTGTTTTGAGCCATTACTTCAGACAGCTCCTGAAACAAAACGGAGTATATTTAGAATTATTACTGTTAGTTTCATGACAGGCACCATGATGGAAGTGCTGGTAACTAGTCTATGCAGGACACATATCCGGCATAATGGTCTTCATTCTGGGATTGCGAACTCGATTGGGGATATCCGGGAGTTCATGGGTTCGAAAGTCCCAGCTTGAGCTTCGTGAGATGCGCACCGTTAGTGAATCCAAATAAGAATGAAACAGGTGTACAATGCTTCTCACCCTTTCACCAGAGGTAAATCTCACGAAGCCTTATTCGAAAATTACCAAAACACCACACACTACTAACAATCTGCAATTAGTATAAAGAATTCGCGCAATAGGTGAAAGTTCCATTCGAGAATTCGTCACCCATGGAGCAAGTCAACACAGGACCACGTAATATGGATTCCGTGGTTAAAGAATGAGCGACACTATATCCTCTCTAAATCACAGTTAGTCACACTGATGATCAGCCGCTCGTGCCCAAGAGTTTAACTGTTCAAACTATCAGCTTGGTGGTTGCGGGTTCTGAGCTCCCTTGAAGGAGCTTCGTGAGATGCGTACTACCGATGATTTTCAATAATAAAAAAACATATATACAGTGCTTATAGGCTTCTCAGCATAGATTGACTTCAGTTAAAGACATTCGTATCAGGTCACCACCAACACACAGTATATTTGCACAGTGTCCCCAAAAGTACCGTTGATCTCAAAGCCCGAAACGGAAACCGGCGTAAGGTGGGTTCTAGGCGATTGGCTGAGAGAGCAACACGCAGATATTTACTGTACGGAGGTTGGGTTATGCATATCAACATACCCTGAGATTCCACTTACTTGCATTGTTGCCAAATGTGATTGGACAGTAAACTGATCCAACCGTTCTACAGTCGTCCGGTCCTCAGTTTCTGACGACGCATCGTAACTTGGTATCTGGTCCAATCGACCGCGACACCCTTCCAGCCACGATTGAATCCGCGTATAATACCGGTCGATCCGGGACTTGACTGTATCAACCTTGGATAGGTAATCAACCGCAATCTGTACAGGTGCAAAAGTGACGAATATGAACTGCAGATTCCGTGGGCTGTGAAGCCTAAATTTCCGAATGCTATTTGAATGCTGACTAGCAGAGTCAACCGAAACACTGATCATTTACTGAACCAGTAAAATGGTCGAAATGGGGATCTTCCGAACTTGGTTTTTGACCAAAGAGAAGGAGGGATTTCGAAGTTCACAAATTTGGCTAGATAGTAATTCCTCTGAAAACACTTTTAAGTGCAGGGTGGATGTGAGAAATTAAGGTCAAACTAACCGTCTGATCTAGTGGACCAGACATTCGTCTAGAACTGAAGTTTGATATACCGTGTTTTGGTTCTGAGTCTTTCATGAATGCTGATGGGTTCGAAGAAGCAAAGCAACGACGGTTAGCCATAAGCATATCTCAAGGTCAGTACCATTGGAACAGTAAAACGCCAATCACACCATTTTCCGGATCTCTAGGAGGTGAAGAGTCAGTTTTCGCACGTAAGTGTGCGAAAGAACTTGGGTAGTAGTGGCTGTGGAAAAAAATGGAACAACTTTCCACTTACTTGAGCAGTATCAAGAACTTTCCTCAGTCGTTCTTGAAGCTGTTCTAGCACATGTGCACCAGTGATGCTCTCGTATTCAGGTACTGTCACCTCTTTTGGGACAAACGCCTCCAGTTCTTCATCCCTCCATTGGACTTTTTCAAGGGTCATTGGCAAGGGACCCAATTCTCCCATGATTAATTCATCCAGTCCATTGCAACGTTCCAATACCGCCCTCCAAGCTGCTAGTCGTTGCCGTACGTCTCTGAGATCTGTTAGGTGTGGCTGGGCACAAATTAACTGAGCAGTATTCTCGATAGCGGAAACTTTCTCTGTGACGCCTTTCACTTCAGAAACCAAAATCATGCTATAGTTCCTAATAACGGAAAGCGAATTGACCACATGGTAGAACTTTGTTTCCAGCCAGGCAAGCCGCGCACGTTGCGTCCTGACTTCCCCCTGAAGAGCACTCACTGCTTCCAAAGAAGTATCCGAGTGCATCAGTTCAAGTTGAACCTCCAAATCATCCAACTTATGGGTGGCATCTCGAGTGGATGGTTGTAAGGTTTCGGTCAACTGTGATATTTCATTGGTTAGGACTGATGCCGGAGGTAAGGAAACGTCTATTCTCGACCTGAAAACAACAGCGCGTCCGTATGATTCGCCGAGGTCCTTGGTTAGAGACAGAATGGTTTCGCCTACCAGTCCGATTATTTTCTCCACCTGCTCATGTCGTGAAACAGCTTTTTCCAAGTAACTAAGAGTTTCTTCAACCCTTCCAAAAAGCCGACCAAAACGTCGCCGAGTTTCTGTCAGGTGGACTATCAACTCGGGATCTGGAAGCCACACACTACCGGCATCTTCATCTTCTTCGTGAACAGGTTCTTGCGTTCCGGGAATCGAACCGTTTCTGGTTTTACTCTTTTCATGATTCAGCGCCAAGGGCTGGTTTATCCGGGAATCCAGTTCATCCAGTTCCCGTTTCCGTTCTTTGACTGAATTTAAAAGGTTCTGCAACAGAAATTTTAAAAATTATGAGGTGAAGTTAATCCAAGAAAAAAGATCATACGGTGCTTCGTTTCTTAGAAAAGCTTCATCTTGAACGGAACTTTGCTTGCGATCGAAATTTTTCGCAACGTGAGACCTTCGTGTTAGCATGTTTCTCTAGTAATCGAACAAGAAATACCCAGACAGAAACAACCACCGTGAGTAGCTAATCGTTTCGTTTATCGTGTTCACTCCAATTCGCGCTCTAAATACGCCAAAATTGACCATGTTCTACTCATAGAATCAAGACAAGGTGGGAAAACGTCGGCTTGTATTCAAATACGCTTCACATCATTTGTTCACAGTGAGCCGTGACCGTATGATACTTCTACTAAGGACACCCACAAGGAGCTACTTTTACGCCGCTGAAAATATAAAGGCTATTCTAACAAAGCGTTTGAAATAGTGCGGGGCCATACGTCGAGTGATATTGCTAGGAAGGTCACACAGTTCAAAACAGAGGAAATATCAACAAACAATGGAGGAGGAGCGATAACAGAAAGATGGCTCGCGCGAGAAAACGCTTCTCAGCGATTGGTCAGACTTGGAGAATGGATCAATATCTTCCATAGAACACGGCTGCCGAAATGCACACATATATTCTCGAAGTAATTGGAAATACTTCCATCACTTGTCTGATTCTGACTTTGCTTTGAGTAGGCACAATCCGTAGAGAATCCCTCGACTGAAAAAACAGTTTGCTAGGTTTCGACGAGTACTCCCACTTGCACACAAAGTTGATTTTGACGGTAGACTCAACCGAAACCTGTCGGATTTGGTTCCAAGTAGAACACAGGTTAGACGGAAACTCGAGGACTATGCCTATCTGATAAGCCCGAAGTGAAAGCGCGAAACCAGTGATGGGCTAACGAAGCTTTTTTCGGGAACCTTATGGGTAGCGCTACGTCTAGGGTTTGGTTGATGTTCATCATAGAGAGGGAATATCAGCTCACGGTATTGTAGGAATCAAGCGATTCACACTTTCATGCGGAACGTATGATTGAACAAACCACTCACTGGCAATGTAAGTCGGTGTGAAGGTGGGATCCAAACGTGACGGAACTGGGTTTCTGTTCTGCACTTTCTTCAATCGAGTATGCCAAATTCGTTGGGGATCTTGCGGGGAGTATCGGCTGTTTCCGAATTTCGATCCACCCTTCCACATGTGCTTTCTATCCTCAACTTTGAAATCGGGTTTCGTATGCTAATCCACAGTTTTCACATCACGATTCGAACAGACTGAGCGCTATTCAAGTTACGACAGCGCTCTCGCTAATAGGACAATCAATGTCAAGATTCCGAATGGCATTGAGGAACACTATTGCAAATTTCGTAAATTTTAGAGTTGAATCAATCAACTTTAACCAGCTGGGTCAACGGCTTTCCTGTGTGCAGCCGGTTACACATCCACAATGCTACTACTCAGATGTCTGTTTTTAACCTTCATCCAGAGTTTTTGTCCCAATTCAGGATTTTCCACGCACTCAGGTGCTACCTCTACTCCAACGTGTGTCTTATCGTGGGTAGGCCAAGACGACGCACAAGTCCCATACTATAGCCTCGCAGACCTTCGATGTGAGATCGCTTCGAAAGCCGGAACAACGGAGAAGACTCACCGAAACCTAGCAATCTTAAATGTTGACGACTGTTGTGTTTCAGAGACCAGAATTCAAGAACCGATCATATTACCCAATCTACATCTTCTATCCGCTACACCTCGACGTACCTACCGCTTGCTACAATCTGAAAGTCCTGTGACAATCACGCCTGGACTGGTGGACGTTGAAATCACACTGAGTCTGAAAACTCCCGTTGACTAGAGCCCAGTGAATTTCAAACCGTGCGCCATGATACCTAAAGGAACATTTAACGTCATGGGGTCGAATTGTTTCCTCCTCCTCTCCCTCCGCCGATACCCGAACCAAATTCAGTCCCGGCTGCATAGGAATGAAATTTACCTCCACATGAACCACTTGATTCATATACAGATGTAGTATTACTAGCCGAGAATCTGAACACCCAAGCTGGTCGACTTGTAACTGGTGACAACAACGTGGGGGGTACTCGGTGCAGTGATAGGAGAGTCTGGTGCAACCACGTGCGGATAATGAACTATTCCTCCCTAGCACCAAATTCCGGTGGTTTTTGTGGTACGTCACTCAATGCTCCCCATTTTCTAAACAGCGGTGGAAGCAGAAAGATCAAGTTAGTAATCAAATCCTGGTGACGAGGAGATGTCCAGAAGTGCAGACTTTTCTGGAACATCTACTTCAATTCTGACGCCTCGAGATGTGGAAATAGCATCGTTTACTCAATGGAACAGCCCAAAACAATGCATAAAGCGAGTTGTTTTAGCTTCACTGGCACAACCATAAGTGCTGAACAACTCTTCAGCCGAACTAGTTTAGGCTTTCTCAAACACCTCTTCCGATGACATCACAACCTACTAGTCACAAACTTGAGATGGTTTCCGAACTGCAGGGAGTCATGCATGAAGCTCCAATGCTCAACGACATGGCGCTACTTGGTCGTACACTCGATTACTGGAACTGCTCGGTACCCGGCAATCTACGTTCGCTCATCTTGAGCCAAATGCGGCTAGTAAGCTACTCAAAGTACAAAAATGAGCCTCCTCAAGAGAAAAAAATCAGAGCGTGGTGGCTGGACTGCATGGCCAAAAACTAAAGGGTGTTGTTTCAAATTATGGGAACAATCGAAAGAAAGTGACTGGACGTAAGTCGACCAAGCAATGAATTTAGAACTAGCCTGTCTAGATGCACTAGGTGTTGGAAAGAATGGTTCGAACGAAAAATGGTTCCATGTGCCCTCTGGCAACGTGTTCACAGTAGATCGCCAAAGTAAATCCAACAACTAGATCTGAAGCCACTTGAAGAAACTGGCAGTCTCAGGCAAAACAAGCCCCTATGCCTGGATGATCCTCCTCGAGTGTCGTTACAAGATTGAGGCTCAGCACTGGTCGGTCAATCTACTGCCATCATGGGATGCAGCCAAACCTCTTGAGATATATCACCTGATAGAAGTACTGCTATCATACTATTTACAATAAAGATGAAGGTACCACGTGGGATCCACTTCACCAAAGTTGCACATCAAACGGGATTCGAATAGATCTTTCGTGTATAATGCTATTTAGCCGAATATGCAGTGCAAAATATGTCTCTGTGGTCGACTGGATCGCCATTGAATCGGTGTTTTCCTTCGCAAGCGGTAGAACACATCATACCGATGTAGGCTAATATTGTAGGACGAACTCGTTAGGTAGTTGTTCAACGGTTAGCTATAAACAGTCCTCATGCATTGTTCTAGATGACATTCAACTACTTGGCTAGCTGGTGCAAAACAGCACACTGAGTAGGATTTCTTGGTTTGCACCTTTAACAAACAATAACTTGGTATCAAACAATTAAACGAGTGGTTTTGCGGAACACTATTCTTTGTGGGATTAATGTTATGAAAATCCAAGGGGAGTAAACATTTTTTCCTCGTCTTTCTTTGGCATCCAATTGAGCACTAATTACGGGAACCTATCTCGTTAAAAATAGTGTTAAGATATCCAATTTCACGAAGGTCAATAGAAGGTCTAAGGGAGAGGTGAAGTCTATCCACATCGAAAAAAGCGTAATCACCGGATACTAAGAAGCTTGTTTGGATCACCCTGAATATAAGGAATGACTTAGCAGGTAGAAATGCGTATAAAAGCTATAACAACCACTTACCGTGGCTTCCAAAACGAGATCTTGTTTCTCGGATAGAGTAGAAGGTAGAATTGTACTGGTTAGTATGTGACTTGTCTCATTTGCAGCTATCCAGCTGTCTTGATTCAATAGCTCCTCATTCAATGCTTCGAAAAGGTTGAGGACGTGTTCCACAAGCTTCCGTCGCTGCAGGACACGCTGCGCTGCATGCTTTGACTGGCTCCGGAGGCCATCAATCAACTGTGTTGCTAGCTCCTCTTCTACAGAGCCATGTTCAAGAGAGGCAACTTGATCCGCCAGACTACTTATGGATGAATCAATCTCACCGAACACATCTTCGCTGAATTCACTTTGGAAGCGGTTGCAGAGTGATTTCAGGGCTTGACGAGTCCAGTTTACGGTGCTGCACGATTCAGTGGGTCGCGGAGTTGCTTCACTGAGCACAAATTCCACCTCGTCAATTAGGGCGCTGACAGACTCCAGCACAAGTTTTGCATCTTTGCCAAAAGCATTCAGAGAATTCATCTTTTTCGATTCAGTTTCCAAAAATTCCTGACATTTCTTCAAACCCACGGAATGGATTTCCTTCAGATTTGGGACAGAAAGCTTTTGGTCTATTTCATCGGCGGTGAACACCGATAGAGAGTCAGATAATTCTGTCTTAAGTGTAGTTAGCGCCTGGTCTTGTCGATCTGAAAATGTCTGCAACTGCTGACGTCGAGAAAGGAACTCGTGTTGAAGCTTCTGTGAACCAAATGGATGAAAACCGGTAAAGACTTGGCCGAGCACAATGAAAAACTGGTCTAGCATTTTGGAAACGAAAAGTATTATATATTTTTCATGTACATTTTCGTAAAGGAACATGAGGTTGACGGAAACTATGGGACTGCGCCTAGCTGATGAGCCCAAAAAAGGGCAAAACCACTGGTGGGCTGTCAAAACGTTTCCAGGAACGTTGAGTAGTTCCATTTATGAAAAAGTATTTAGGAATGCTCCTTTGTGTGTCAATCTATCTATTTGTTTGTTTGTTTATTTGTTTATTTATCTGCCTATTTATGTGCCTATGCCTTAAACCATACAAATGGCATTCATACAATATTTTCAGTAACCGAACTGTAACAAGAATGTACAATTTTTGTTCAACAGGAACTAGTATCGCCAAATTAAGTGGGTATTCATCGGATCTCCTCTTGATCCTCTGCTAGCCGATATCTTTACGATCAAACCAAAAAACATTATTTGAGAAAGAAATATCATCTTTGTTTCACCATTTGAGATACGTGGATGCTATCCTCCTAATATGCGATGGGAACAAAAGCTCACCGACCATTCTGGGGTCAGGTAATCATGTTGACTTGCACACGTGACACCGAACGGGAGATATACTACTGTAAGGATAGTGGGATGGAAACATAGGAGAAGGCTTTTACAGAATCAGACAGTCCAGTAATTCTTTCAGCTTTGAACCGGTGAGAATCAAATGCGACCTCGAGCTCAACAGGGCAACGAAAATATGCACAGAGTATTTACTACCAGAAGAAGCCAACTTTCTGTTTGCACTACTAAGTTAAAATGGCCACTCCGGTGAATTTTGGCGGCCAACATAAGGCCACTCGCAACAAAGGCACCAAACCAAGATATGAAGATGCAAATACACTCATTTACATCTCAACTTGGTTTTCACCGGAGACTCAAGTGAATCTCTCGTGCACGATGTTCTGCAAGTGGGTGTACTGCACAAAGGCCGTTTCATGTTTCAGTTGGTACGATATTCGAGATATCGCAGTATATTTCCGCAAAGGCAGTACATTCAGTTGAAGAACATCCTAAACGAGAGATTCCCTTGTCTCCCGTGAAAACCAAATTGAGTTGCAAATGAGTGTATTTGTCGACTCTGTCCAACTCGGGTTCAAGTAGAACATAAGGTTGACGTAAACTCGGGGACTGCCCCTACCTGATGAACCCAAAGTGGAAGGGCGAAACCGGTTTTGCTCTGACGAATAGTCTTCACCAACCTTGTGAGTAATTTCCTTCGTGAAAATACCTACAACTGTCTTATGCAGGCAGCTTGATCAGTTCATTATTAATACTGGGATCTTTAAACGATTAACGCTTATCGCTTACCCAACATTTGCCAGCCATCCGATCTTCAGACGAAAACTGAAAGACTATCTACTTCGCCAAGCCACCTCCATGTGTGTCTACAGGTTTGCTTTCTCCTAGAGGATCGTTACATTGGCTAGACTACGAGAATATTGTTTAAACGCATGTTCAAGTCTACATCTTTCTCGTTCACTAAAGCTGTGAAAACTATTAACGGCTGGGTGCTAACACTGGGCGCCGAATAGATTTTGGGACGCTATTTAATGTTATCTGTGAGGTTGATCCGAAGTTACCCCGGGAAAATCAGGATTAGAATCGGTATCTATCATACTTCGCAGGATTCATTCGTGCTTTAAAAAGCGTCCGATCCAAGTTCCTTGCTTACCATGGCCTAATCAGTTTGACTTGTTCGACCCTGATTGAGGGACATCACAAGGTCAATCAATTACCGAGATCCCCGATTTAGGACCATACCCTAGAAAGCCCGTTCCCCCGTCCCACCTTTATTCGTGTCTCCGACTCAACCTTACGAGTAGTGCATTACGTATATACATAAATCGCGATATCTCTAATATCGTAGCAACTGGAACATGAAGTGGCCTGGCACAGCACATTCAGTTGCCTGGAAATACGAGAGATTTAACTGGGTTCCAGTTGAGTCTCCGAAAAACCAATTTTTTTGCAAATGAATGTATTTCGCTTACTACAAAGAGGTTATTAGATGAGTACTCTGTTAGAATACTCGCCCAGGTCAGTTATACTATGCATTTTCCCACATTATCTGCTTGAGTAAATATGCGCGAACCAGTACCATAGGTTTACGTTTCGACCAATTCAATCGTGGTAAAACTTAAAAACTTTCCGCACTTTGGAGAAAACAACCCGAATGAAGACCATAGATTAGAGTCAACCCCTGAAGTACACTTCAATGGTAAACTTACACCAAGAAGAGAACACCTTAACAAACAAACCATCATCAGCCGGTGGGCCCTGGAGATTGATAACTGAACCAAAAAACGGAGTCTTCGATGAAACGCCCTAGACCAATTAGCAAAGTAATGTCTACAGAACAATGACAGAACATTGACAAAGTAGGCTTTGCCGATGAACCCTATTCAAAAATGATGTGATGCAATTTGATTTGACACTTTAGACTCAGAGGTTCAGGTGTATCGGCAAGCTGTGCATAATCTGTTGTTTTAGCACACTGGATGTTGGTTTCATGAATAAAAAGACTTAACGTTAGATGATAGACTTAAATTTCATCAGACAAACCAGCACACGTTTTCTTAAAAACGGAAAACAATGGGCAAATGTGCTGACAATCGTAGAGGCGGATCAGCTGGAAAGATCGATTCTTTCCGTCGTACTCAGACACAACTGAAGAAATGGTTTCGGCAATGCGAATGCGATGCTCGATATTGAGTATCCTCCACCCGTTATGGCTGCTTACCAGGTGAAGCTACATCCTGTCCAAGTGCGGGTTAATCACACTGACGATCAGCCGCTCGTGCCTAAGCGGTTAATTGTTCTAACTACTAGCCAGGAGGTCCCGGGTTCTAGACTCCCTTATTGGAGTTTCGTGAGATGCGCACTACCGATGATTCTCAACAAGGAAAAAAACACCTATATAGTGCTTATCTGCTAGACTTGCAGCATGAAATTTCAACTGAAAATCCCCAAACCTCCCCATACTACTATCAGCTATAACCGAACCTGACTATTCTTTTCACAACCCCTAGAACGGTACTTTTCAGAATGTCGAATCAGTTTAAATTCCCTCCAGAAAGAACAATGCGGTCGCTCTTTTCTCGGGAGACATTATCATACTGGTTGAAATCTTTGACGCTGACAGTTTAAGGTCCACAATGGTGTATAGATCGCAAACGGATACATTGTTGTGAGTACCCCACAAATTCTGTGGAGCAACACTGATTACTCAAGCTTATGAGCCCCTATATGTGACTGACTGTCGTTACATTGCTTTAAAGACAATCAGATCTATCGGTTAGTAACACACTAAGGGTGACGTAACCAGGAGTGGCGTGTGTTTCGCAAAATTTGGTACGATTTTTCAATGGAATAGTTCTTTGCATAACCTCACAAATCAGTGTTGAAGATCTCACACAAGACATATGCACGGGACATCATAAGCGAAAAATATAGATAAATGATCAACAGATGAGTTCAAAATAGAAGTCCTCTAAATACCTGTAATGGGAACTTAAAAGCTGATAGGATTATTCATCAAGTTACTCACCATGGTCTGTTCAGTGCGATGCTGTGCGTCTGCCTTCATCGAGTCCCACATGAACAGAAATTGTGACGTGTTCAGAAGGACACGCGTTGATTGATCTTTGTCTGAAGTTTGTTCAATCTGACTCAACTTCTCCTCTAACCTAATCAGCCAATTTCTTAGAGCATGCTGCTCCTCCAGCACTCGAACATGGAAATCCAGGGCCGCATCAACACGTGCCCGGCGTTCGAGCACCGTCATCGAAATTCGATGGGCTTGTTGCTTCAAACGCTCAATGGCTTCGGAAAAACTGTTCCGACCCTCCAATCCGGTGGTCAGAGCAACAGCTCGGAAGGTTTCAATCATTCTCTCGTACGTAATTGTTTCAAATCGATCCACCTGGTCCGAGATGTGGGATAAACTGGTTAAAATGGACATGTACACAAGTTCACCATTAAGCCAGAAAGACAACTTTTTTGCCTCCAGTGATTCCAGATCAGGAGATGAGGTTTCCAATTCCCGTTCCACTTCTGCTAATTCACACTGCGCCGTGGTAATAAGTTCTTCAAGCGTTTTGTGCTCATCCAGTGCCTTTTGCCAATAATTCAAACCACTGTTGGTACACTTCTTCATTGTGTTCAGTCTGTCGAAAAGCTCTTTTACCTGAGCATCAAGACTTTTCTCCATCGTGAACTGAACAGCCTCACCACATTTGCTCCGGCCCAAACGACGCAAAGCCACTCTTAATTCGTCGCATTTTGTCGTCAAGAGAGAAGACAGATCAGTACACTGTTGACCATCAAGATCACTTAAGAGTCGCTGTAACCGAGTAAGACAGAAAACTTTTTCTGATGATGTCTCTGGTAGCATGTCACGTGACCTTCCCATAGCCACTGGGCTCTCAGTTGTGAGTGGAATATAGATGGTTTGCAGGACGAGACCGCATGCGGACAAGAACTGGTGAAATCTGTTGAGTTGATCAATGGTTTCCATAAACAAGCTGTCTAGTTGAATCAGAACTGCAAGTTGGAATTTCATCGGTTCCTCCACCCTTTGGATTACATTCGACTTAAAGGATTCCAGCATTGATTCGATTTCACCACTGTTCAAAGTTTCCTTCATCACCACCGAAGCCACCTCCTCCAAGTTACGGGTCTGCTGCTCTGATCCACTGGAGTATGACTTTTCAAATTCGGTTAGGCGAGAGATTAACTCGGAAAAAATTTTGGAACAAGATTCCGAAGAACTTTTTGACGTATCATCGAGCTGGTACGATTGGGACTGCTTATCAAAAGATATCCGAGTGGAACCATAAAACTCATCAGCTGCATCAATAATTTGCAATAGCTGAGATTCCGTTGTATCGATCCATCCCATGGATTGTCCTGCAATGTCCATAAGACGGCGATGCTGTTCAACACGCTGTTCGTGAACTAACAGGCGTTTGGAAACATAGTCCTGAGCTCGTGTGAAGCACGTTTTAAGTCCTTCCACCTCTGTCGAACGGTTTTCATCTTCCTCTGGCTGTTTCAGGGGGGCACTCCGGTCCAAAACGGCAGACAAAAGGCTTTCTTGAGCGCGTAGCTGCTGCATCCGTCCCTGAAATTGGCAGAAAAAATAGCATGGATAATGGTTTAATAGCGTGCTACCATAGAGGGAGTGGAGCTGCCCCTTAAGCCTAGCAGTTCAACGACTTCAGCAATTACATATCCTAACCAGAGCAACTTTATCGGGAATACAACTTAAAACAGTAGTGCAGTCACATGAACGAGCTAACTATACATCATGCGCATACCTTGTAGGTTTCCAGTAACGCTTGCTTCTGTGACAATGTTGAAACCAGTTCCACCTCTTTAGCATCAGTTTCGTCAGCGACTTCCGGCACATTCCATTCTTTTACCACACTCTCAATCCAACTTTTTAGGCGTGTGTAGCATTCCGAAAATGAAGTCCAGTGGGAAACATCTGCCTCCGTCTGCCTCAGTGCGCTAGTCAATGTTTCCATAAGCGTTGTCATTTGAGATTGTCTGAGGTGTATCGATTCGCGTAGGTTTTCTCGACAGTGGACAAGAACGAGTGTATTGATGGGTCGCATGGTACAAACAGGTTTCTGTGATCTAGATATAGGCGAATCCATGACCTGATTCATCATATACGGTCCCGTAGCAATAAAACTGCCCAACGTGAGCAGATCGATAACATTTTGGGCTGCATTTTCTGCCGCCTGAATTTTCAGGTAGACCTCGTCACGCTCAACGAATAAACCCTGAACAGAAAAGAAGCGCATATTAGGGAGAGTTACGAGAGCAGGAGAAACTTTGTAATGAGATAAATACGACGGGAAGACCTACGGCCAGCTTACATGGGGCACTGTCTCCACTCGGCCCTGCCCTGAGAGGTAAGATCCGTCTATTTCAACTGCGTATATTCTCATTATGGACAATTCTACATTCAAAAAGTCAACATACCCACGGAAGAGCAACTCATTTTTCTAACAGTTCGGTGAATGTGTACAAATACCTTGGTGGCACGTAAGTGGGAGCCATAAAACATTAGCATAACGGCACTAACTACTGAGTGATGAAGGCGCTAAATTACTGACCGGAAGGACCGTGGTTCGAACCCAACTTCGACATCTCAACTACTCCTGTCTACGCTTGGATAACGTGGCGATATCCCAGCCCTCGCTGCTTCTTCAGGTGGCTCGGCAGCCATGCAACCAAGGGGCTCTGCAGCTGAGCGATTATTTTCCATTATAACCACTGCAATCTGGTTTGAAGGTGCATGCGGGAACAGAAGCGACAATAGACGGGTGGTCTTTCGATGAAAACCGAAAAACGGAGAGTCCACGAATATAAAATATGTGAGAGTTTAAAATTGAATTAAAAGTGGCTCTATTTGAAGTGTCGTCCCTTGCGAGGTTTGTCCCCCAAGACACTCCTATAAACCTCAGCATACATAACGCTCCCTTGCAACCCTGTCAAGCCGAGCCAACATCATGGATAATCAGTAAATAACCTATAAACACAGCAAATGAATTTATGAATGGTTAAGAGTAGACTCTTTCGGCAGTGTGATCACTTTCAAAAGCAGACATCTTCATCATTAAACAAGCCCAATGATGTCCTAAACATCTTCACTTATTTCACTACGAAAATAAAACGCGCGCGGAAAGTTTATAAATGAATTTGAAAACCCCCCAAAGGTTTTTATCCGTACTTCTTACCTCTAATGAGCTGAGGCGCGTTTCCGCTTCTTCTTTAGTCGACACGACTACTCGAGTTTGTTCGATAATGCTCGCTGCACGTTCACTCCATTGGCCTATGCACGCGTCAGCCTCTTCGTGACAACGATGTTCCACCTCTAATGAAGCAAGAAGCTCTCCCATTCGAGTCGTTGCACCAGTGACGTATTCTCCGAGGTAACGTAACCTCGTCTTTGCTTCATCCAAAATCAGATTACGCGATCTCGGCTGTTGTTCGCTCGTTCGTTCCTCCGTTTCGGGGGATATCCCAGTCAATGTGTCTGACGTCCGCTGGTCTTTACCAAATGCCAGTTGTATCAATGACACACTGCCCAGAAACATATTTTCTGTATGCCTCACCCTGGTTTCCAATTCTGCAACCCGACTCATTAGATTCTGTAGACGAAAACAACGCAGATGAAGAAAACAAATTTTGTGAAATCAAACATAGTCTGATGGATACATGCGTAACAAACGACAGCTGGTCAAATCAAATGAGTTGCCTGACGTAGGTCGACGACCAAGGAGTATAGCAGTGGATGATTAGATGTTCAGAATTTCATACATACGAAATTCCAATCACGGAGAGTAATTAAAATACAGCAGAGTTACAAAATTCCAAAGGGGATACTTTCAACCCAAAACCCACGAAACAAATAAGGGCTTGTGAGCAGCAGAAGCCCTACAGCCAGTGTATTGTCGTTAGAATGGATCTCTACCCCAACAAGTAAATTGTCCACTGCTTATCTGAAACTATTCACACAAATCTTGAAGGACCCGTCACAGGCAACCCATAAAAAGTTTTAAAATAGGCCTTTGTTGTTAGCTCCAAGTTGAATATCATGTAAAGAAAGTTCATCAAAAATTCAGTCTGGCGTTGTCTGGCCTACACTGTGCGGCTGTTATAGCTAGGGTGCTAAAGAGTTCAGATACCAAACAAATCGGGCACTATTCGCAGAGAAAACATATGAGGTTTCACATCAAACCTAAAAGTACACACTGTCTTGTATAATTGAACAAAGAAACTGGTGCCCTAACAATGAATATATTTATGCAATATACGTCGGGGTGCTTGTTGTTGAGAGGTGACCACGACATTTGATATGTCCCAGTGGCTCTGGAGCAGAATAAGAAACATATCAGTACTACGATTTGGTTGAAACCACGTATTGGAGGTGGAGATGTTGCTAGTTAGAAATAAGATTCGATAAAACCTTGAGGCAGAAAATCCGCGGATATATGGAGCAATAAAGGTGAGAGGGGGAGTGGAAACCTGTCTCCCAGAGACTGGGTCTCGATAAGAAGTTTGCGTATACGCAATGCTGCTTAGCCCCTATGTCAGATCCTTAGTTATCCAGGAACTGAGATCCGGAACAAAAATAGTATACCAGTTTCGACCAACTGAGGGCACTGTGGAACAACCCGTGTTAGTTACACAACACGGTGATCGTATGCCACAGTTGGTGAATCTCGAACTCACCCTGTGCTCAATTTAAAAAATGGGACATCTATTTAGTCCAGAGCTCGAAAAAGACTAGTGGTTGGGGCGCGAACTTACTGACTACAAGGTCTGCGGTTCAAAGCTAACCCCAGGGTTTGGTTAACCTGGCAGTATCTCAGCCCTCGTGCTTCCCTAGGCTACGAAAAGTCGTTACAGCCGAACGAATACTAGTGTTCTCACTAGATTGACATATCCAAGCTCATACTTCAACCAAGTATTAGTAATATGAAATGGCAGTCTGGAATAACGATGATATAACCAGATGGTGGGTTGTGAACCATTTGTTACGTCGGCAAACTGGGCGCAGTCACAAACGTTGCAAACTCTCCGTAAAACCTAAAACCGGGAACTGTAGACCTACCGGAGAGGTTGAGTTAGTGTCTTGTTCTAAACTGTTTAATATCTTAATGAAATCACCAGCCCACTTAATTTCTCAGGAAACTAAATCTGCTAACTGTTCAGCTGGAGTTGTTGGACTTGTGGTACATAGGTCAACAATATGAACCAATGTTACGTAATCCGTCTATCCACGATCCCTTAATGAGCTCCAACAACAGTACGACTCTTCGAAAAACAAACGCTTACTTCAATGTGACGGATGACAACAGCTAGATTGCCCACTGAAGCGTGCCATCACTTCGTCTGGTAAGACCCCCACCAATAAAATGAAAGATGTTCTCATAAAGGAAACCACTCACAAGGTTGCTGAAAACTCTTCGACCCTGTGAGTAGTTTTCTTTATGAAAATATACTGCGATATCTCGAATATCGTGCCAACTGAATCATGAGGCGGCCTGTGTGCAGCACATTCAGCTGGAGAACATCATAAACGAGAGATTCAATTGATTCTCCCGTGAAAACCAAATTGATTTGCAAATGAGTGTATTTCTCGGAAGATATTCTCATCTATCTACTGACGTCAGTGAAACGGCTGGGCACGTTTGAACACATTTAGAATACTATCCGGCTAATGATCATAGCCTGAAAGAAGTAATATGTTGTTCGCCGACCTAGTGTGAAGCGAAAGGCTAGCCACGATAGGCTTCAATGTTTTTCCCTTAGGAGATGCCCGCCAACAGCCATCCCAAAGGTGAAGCCCTGGTAACCTCATCGGTTAGTTTGTAGAAAGTGGACCTAAGTTGCACATTAAGTGTACATCTGAGAAAGTTGGCGGATGGCAACTTCAAACGACTAACTGCCCAATCAGCGCGCCTATGTAGGAAATAGTTTCCATCAGAGGAGCTTCGTGAACAGGAGGGGTTTACTTCTAGCGAGCACACCAGCTTGTCAGTGACGTTTGAAGATTGAATGGTATCCATGAATTGAAAAATGTAGCGCAGACTGTGCCTCTATACCACTCTTCCAAAGGGTTCTAGGGTTTTCACGAGCTGCTGTGCGGTGGCGTGATAGGAAAGCTTGGTCTTGATGGACAAGGCCGGTAAGCTGTTTATCACTGGTGATTCTTCACACCACAAACATGCGGGTTTGCTACTTCTGTATTCTCTATTACCCACGCGTATATTTGAAAATTTAAAACACTAGTCATCTTGGTCCCAAAAAACTAACACAACGGAATAGTAATGCCGGGATCATAGAATGTTTCTGACAGTACGGTGATGAATTCTAATACCCGTCTGAAAAGTCAAATCCTTCTTGATTGTCACAAATAAGCCAAACCAATATGATCAATATCGATGGTTCTTAAACAAAGGGTTCCGAAAACTACACTCGCTTGCAAGACAATCTGGTTTTACCGGGAGGCTCATTGGAATTCCAGTTGAACCCTTCGTTCATGACGTGCTTCCACTGAATGTCATGAATCATGTTTCAGCGGGTACAATCTCCGAGATAGCGCAGGGTAGTTTCTTAAAGGAACATTACTTACAAGATGGGTTGTCGAAGATTTTTCAGTAGTCTTGCAGGTAGTGCTCCTTCCAGAAAAAGAATTCCCTTTATCCTAAGAGGGAAATTTCGATGGTTCGGAGGATTTGGATTTGAAGGCTTTGGTCTCCTGCTTTCATTGCCCAAAATCTGACGCTTCTGATACTCTCTTGATGACAAATGCGCGGTTAGAGGATCGTGTGGTGGCACTGCCAGAGGGTTTCAGTTCCATTTGGAGCTGATCGCTGCCGTAGTCAAAGGTGGAAGCCATCAACAACCTATATAACTGTATATTGCTTCGCGTATCATCATCACCTTCGGCTATGCACGGTATGCAAGTGGTTTCAAGGAACTCAGCTATCGTACCATCCAGATGTTAGGTTGAGCGGTTTGATTTCCCGGACAACTCCGAGTTTGAATGAGAAAATTCTTGAAGTAAGCTGCCGACCTTGAATTTGTGAGGGCCGTCATCTGTGTAGTGCCTTTATTCGTGCTTATGTAACTGCGTAAGTCAAGCTTGTAAGATTGGAAATAGGGTCGGATGAAAAACCGAAGCATACCAGAGGCTAGAACGATACCTATTGAAATCCACCCTGATGAAACTGAGATACGAACCATCACAATATCTCCATATCTGTAATCAAAACCTACTGTCAAAATTTGAACACATATGACTTAAAAACAGAGACAACTTTTATCGAGAAATGCACTCAGTTGCAAATCAATTTGGTCTTCACGGGAGACTCAAGTGAATCTCTCGTTTATGATGTTCTGCAACTGAATGTGCTGCACACAGGCCACCTCATGTTTTAGTTGGTACGATATTCGAGATATCGCAGTATATTTTCGTAAAGGCAGCACATTCGGTTGAAGAACACCATAAACGAGAGGTTCAATTGAGTCTCCCGTGAAAACCAAATTGATTTGCAAACAGTGCAATTTGGGTTCAAGTAGAACATAAGGTTGACGGAAGCTCGGGGACTACGCCTACCTGATGGGCCCCAAGAAGGGCGGGACCGGTTGTAGGCTGTCAAAGAGTTTTCAGCAACCTTGTGAGTAACTTTTCCTCGTCAGATATGGATCAATGAAACGTGATGGGAACTGAAAGGACTGAATGGTGTGAAACAGGCTGTGAACCACCAGTCCATGACGTCAACAATTTCGCTAAAGTTTAAGCATAAATTCGGTAGATGAACAGTTTGACTGCATGTGATATCCCACTTCCTCTACTCAGGGAAGTAAACCCGGTCATTCTGAATCCTCGAAAACAATTGAGTAACACTTCCGCTCAATCTTACCTGTAATCCATCCATCCGTTGTTGGCACAGTGCTGGAGTCGGGGCTGTTGTCCACCTCAACAAGGCGCAGAACTGCTTTTCAGCGTTCTCAGTGTCTTGCAGTAACTCTGCTTCTCCTTCGGATGATGCTTTAGCCTCGGCCAAAGCTTTGGTGAGATAAGTTTCGAACTTGACCATTTCACTTGTCCACTCAGATAATATGATACGGCCATTACTGACAGCTTGCACAGCTGCATCGTGATCCAGCAACAATTGATCAAGCATGTCCACTGAAAGAGTCTGCGGCGCCAGTTGGGTAGACAGTTCTGTGGGAAGACTGACCTGATTTTCCAAAGTATTCAAAATTTCTTCAGCAGTTGGAGGAGCCATGGCTCCGATCGCACTGGGAGCGACATCATGATCACTTTCAGCACCACCCTCGAGCCGGTTCGATTCCGAACCAATCTGTTCGGCGAACTCCTTCTCGAGCCACTGACCACGAATCATGAGCAAAGTCATGCTTCGGAGCTTGTCGATAAGCTGTTCTCCTTCAGTCAAGGTCACATTTTGATGCTAGAAATTTGGGAAAAGGCTGTTGAACCAACGTTAACAAGACGACACCAGCCAAGGTTACGTGTTACACGTCCTATGGTTGAGATTTTGGAGGTCAAAAAACCTTTTGGGAGTTAAAGTCATATACTAAAAAGCATCCGACGGACACTCAGGATGATAAACATAATATATGTGAGTGGGTTGCGGGATTTTGATCAGTCCACTTCAAAAGGGAAAGCATTGGATTGGGGATTAGCTCATACTGGATGGTGTCAAAGCTTATTTCGTTGACCATGACGGGCTTGAAGGCCGGGCCTCTGGCAAGCGGAAGGAGCATCCTACCAACATCAGAATAACCACACGTTCTCCATTCGGGAGGGGGGATTAGTTGACCTGACGCCCCTAACAGCGGCCCAGTAAATGTCTCGATCAAGACTGGCCTATCTGTCAGAACCCCCAGTATCACGGACACTTGAAACATGCCGAAAAAGTTCGGTTGGTTGCCTGCCAGTGGCAGAATCGGCATGCACACATTCTCGTTGGAAGCAGTTACCTACTGTACTGGCACTGCTACAAAATCGTCGTTCGAATTCCCGAGCAAAACAGTCGAAATGCTCAAAGCGCAACCACGACCAACTTTTGAGACGCGACAATTCAGGTGCATCAAATCTGCGCTGGCAGATTACCAGTGACGCGGTCATCCTGCACATCAGATGAACTCAGTTTAAAAGTCGCCACGGCCAAGAAAACCACGGTTGATGAGCTCCGACCATGGTGAAACTCCAACCCAGTGTTTGCCCCATTCCATAGGTTTGCAAGACACTAGTGACTATTGTTTACTGATAGTGCTGGTGTGTTTGCATTGTTATCAATCCAAAATAAGTTAAGATCTTCCCTGAGGAAATTGATACTAACCAAAAGCAGAATCTAATGAAGAAGTCATCAAAGGTTATTTGAATGACACATAGATATGTGAAAGGACTGACCAAATAAGCGGAGTAACTACCAGAATGCACCGAAGTGAAACAGAAATAACACGTCGAAGTTCACCAGGCTGCATATTTACTGACCTTTCCAAATGACCACGAGTCACGGACCGAAAAGATAGATTTTGCCTCCAAGAATAAGAATCAATCAGTATGATCAGAGGAAGCTCGAGTACACGCAGTTTGAACGAAAAGATTGCAGGCGGAATCAAAGCGACAGCCCCTGACTTGTCAGACGAGTGCTCTAATCACTGAGCCAATGCATACTCCTGAACTCCGAAATCAGGGGATTCGTGGTTTGATTCCAAGTCAACATGTGTCCTTCTCTCCGTATGACATGTGATTTGGTTTCTCGCTTAAAGATTTATCGAGTCATCCAGTTTCTATCAAATTACAGCCAAATCTTTTGGATATTTAGGCGATATCAACGCACGGTCGATTTTGAGATCCGGACAACAGGGATAACTAATAGCGTTGACAGTGTGGCCGTTAATCCACTAAATGAATGCGGGAGAAACGTGTGCACACTTGTTCTCGGTCTTAGATACAGAAAAAATGACAAAAATGCGACTCACCTTGACGAGACGAAGAACTGTGTTAAGGTACTGAACCAAACGTCCTGAGTTGGTTTCAGCAAGGAGCGGTTGCAGCATGTCGACTCTTGTTGCCTCCGTTTCTGCCGGTAGTAGGCTGAGCGCGAGCCTTTGAGCACGCTCTGAATTGTCGTACCATGCCATCCAAACTTTCAGTGCTTCTATGTAGAATTGATTCACACGCCGATGAGCCAGTTCCGTTGCTTTGGAAGTAGATCCCATCAAACCGGCAAGGCGATGCTCTAAAGAAACAGCCTCGCTTTCTAACAACACAGCTCCTCCACCAGTTTCAGTCTGATCTTCTGTTTCTTGTTCACCGGGCTCTTCAGAGTCTACCACTTTCTCTTTATTCAGTCGAATGAACCGATAGTGATAACGACTAGGTCCGCTTGCAAGCAAATGGGCACGTCGATGTAATCGCAAAGCATGGCCACGGAGATTGCTGAGTTTCAAACGTGCTGCTTCCAACTCACATAAACGGTGAATCTCTCGTTTGGTGTACCCAATGGAAGCATCAACGAATATCAGGCTTGATGCAAGAGACCCAGGGGAGACACCTGATGTGAGATTGTGAGTACCTGTGTCATCCGAACTGCTTGTGCTGCATGAATTCAACTCAGCTACCGCGTTGTCAATCATTGCACGTAGTTGTTCCAGTTCTGACCTGAGCTGATCACAGCGTACTCCTTCCTCGCTCCACTGAATCGCCAGACGATCGGCTGTTTTTCTCAGCTTTTCCATCCTCCAGTCAAATTCTCTAACTGACTGCACAATGTTCTCACGATCCGGCAAGTCGGCCTCGACTCGACAATTCACGCTGGCCAACAAATTTTCATAGTATACCACTTCTGTTGCGAAATTAGTCAATACAGTCTGAGGGTTCACAAGTGCCTCCATCTCAAGTGATGCGGTTGGAATAACGGTGCCTTGGTTTTCCATCGTTGTCACAGCAACAGCAATACAGGCAGAGGCAGACAATTGGCAGCTGCACGATTCCAAAGTAGTTTCCGTGGGGTCTAACCAGGCAACTAACTCTTGAAATCCAGCTTCTATACAGAGGAGGGCTGCACAGCGCACTTCCAGTTGTTGACGCGTGGTTGCAAGGCTGTCTTGCAGCTGTTGCCATCTTGCAATCACATGGTCACGCAGAGGATCCACTGAGGATGTACCTATTGGTTCCGATGTTTTTTCAGACTGAGCGAGCGTTGCATGGGGTTCCGAACTTTCCCGCCTAATTTCAGCCTCAAACTCTCGATACGCTTCAAATGCGCCTATACAAACTTGATGAAGTCTCGTAAACAGACTGTCGCGTTTGCCAAGCAGTTGTGTTTCGGCTCTTTTGATTATATCCAATTTTTGTTTTGCTTCCTCATAAGTGTCTACGTCGAGATGATGCATTGGTGAGGTCTGTATGGCTACTTTGTCGAGGTCGGTTTGATCGACAACCTCCTCGGTATCTTTTTCGGCTACGAAACTTGCTAAGTTGGATTTGGTGGAACTGGAATTTAGTCCAGACTGCTGCTCTAGTAGATCCAAAACTTCGGAAACCTGAGCAACTGCCTGCTCACGCTGAAAAAGGGCATGCGACAAAGATGTAGTCCGCCTTCCGAGCTCACCCAGTCTGTTTCCAACGCCCCATATAGAGTGCACCGCTTGAGAAACAAGACTGTCCACAGTTGTTCCACGAGATGGAGCAATCGAAGTTAAGCGATCTCCTAGACGGCGTAGTTCACTAAGTTTTTGAACAATGGTCGAAGCTTCGTTGACCAGTTCACTTGGGGGTTCAGATTCTGAAGGTGGTCGTTCCGATGTTCCGCGAATAATTAACTTCTCGCGAACGGTAGAAATTGCAGACTCCCACTCGATCAGCTGTTGACCAAGCCGATTAAGGCGTGTACTAACCCCCTTAGCTTCACCAGATGGGTTGACCACAGCACTCGTAGCCGCACAGGTTTTCCGCGCATGTAACTCCATGTTGTTGGCCTGTTCGATTATCCGGTCACGTGCCTCAGACAGCTGTTGCCAGCTTTCACAAATGGAAAAAACTTGCACAAGGTTCGCCTTAAGACGACCTTGCAAACGATCACATTCCGTCATGAATCTAGCCGTATCAACGTAGAAGCTGAATGGCTCAACCTGCAAATGGTCACCGCCAGCCTTTGATCTTGGACGACCAATTCCCCAGGTATCCTCAATACTGGTTACAAACATCAAACCCGACGATACGGCTGCCGTGTCCAAAACCCTTGGGTCCAGAAAAACTGCTTCTTCCGAATCTTCCGTCACACGTTGCGGCTCGAGCTCCTCAATTACCAACCAAGAGTTGGTGCCCCGCCAGTTCCCAATCGACTCTTTCAATCTGGAGATTTCAGCCTTCACGAGTTTGTATTCGTTCTGGTAGTTTCGCCCAGATTCGGACACCTGTTCTTGAAACAACAGTGCTTCGGAATCTTCCATACTGTCTGCCCTCTTCTTTTCAGATTTCGCTTCCGGTTTTAAGGTCGAATCAGTTTGTTCAATGTCGCTGCCAAGTTCCTTTTTTCGCTGCGTAGACAAGTCTGTACCTTCCTCTTTCACGTATTGCCCTTCCGCCTTAACTTCCTGGTTAGATTTTGAATCATTTGGAACACCCGCTGTTTCTCGAGCACTTGTTTCTCTTTTTTTAATTTCCACCTTTAACTCAACCATATCGGATGTGCTCGTGACGCCTTTGATGCGGTTGTCCAGAGCCACGACCTGTTCACGCCACAATTCCCGTGCTTGTTCATAGGTCACAGCTGCCGTACACGAAGACCAGCGGCAGGATACTCGATTGACGAGACGGCGCATGCGTCCAACCAAACGTCTTAATCGCTCGCGGAGTGCCCTATTGATTTCATCTGCAGCATCCACACTACTCTGACGTGAGATACTTGACATGTCGAAGCATACAGAACGTTGATTGCGCAATCGGCCGCCAGATCTTGGCCTGTCTCCAGTAACTTGGCTTCCTGGCCTGCTACCACTCTGATGGGAAAGAGCGCGAAGATCAACACCTTCTCCCTCGATTTGCACAGCAATTTCCCTCAAAGCCATCATGCGAGGACCTTTGGCTTCGGTGTATATTGCATTCAGTTGGTTCAGCGCTTCTGCAAGGTCCACTCCTGCCGTATTGTGATCGACTTCACGCTCTGACAATGAGAGAAAATTATATGAATACTGAAGTCAAACGAAGTCTGTCTTAATAAGCCAGCCTGATAGAGTATGAAAAAAAATGCTAAAATAGCGATAAGCTGTAATGGAACAAACATGTAGTATTTGCAGTATAATAATCAATACCCTCCATTCTGTTGTCGTTGGCACGTTTCCCAAGAAGCCTAGAAGAACCCCTCTGGATAAAGTTCAGTCATTCCCATTGAATGTCTCTTACTAACTGATTTTGTCGCGAACGATTTCGGTTGACTAATTGGTGATTCAAAAACGTCTTTTCCATCCCAATCAACCAAAATCACTTACAGACAGATGAGGTAATACTGAAGCACAATACTGCACTAGACAAAGTTCTCCACTCTGAAAAGTATTCAGTCTAGTATTCACATAATGTACGACTGAAACAGCTGACAATGGAAGCCAACATTTGGTAATTTTCAGTCTGTTTGAGGGCGGATATGGAAGTTCTCAGTTAAATTTCTGTTCCAGTAGTCATGGACTGAGACACAACTGCCTTCCTTGTGAACCGGTAAAAGGATATAAATAAATTAGGACATATGGTTACCGGATAAGAACTCACCTCCACTGGGTTTCATTGCGGACTCTGTTGGCTTGTCACTCAGTGAGATGGACAAAGGAGCCGTCGCAGCCACCCAAACTCGGGAAAGTTTACCTAGACGTTTTTCGCAAACGGCCATCCACTGATTTAACTTCTCAATATCACGGAATAGACGGTCACGAGCATCTAGTTTTCCGTCCAGATGGGTATTCAGTTTTTCCCACAGAAGTGCTAACCTTTGCACTCGTTCCCCAAACTCACGAAACCGGATTGCTGAGGGATGCGGACTGGTCGTGGGATTCACTAGCTGCGTAGTCAATGTTGAGCTATCAATGGCATAGCTATCCCGCCGAAATAGGGACAACCTCCGTGGTGGGATCTTAGATTCATCGATTTGATCCAACGTGGCGCATTGTATTTCCCGCTGGATCACCAACTGGCGCAATAACCGTTCTGTGTGTGAGCTCAAAGACCGCCACAATGCTTCGGCCAATTGTAATCGTTCTTGTTCGGTTCGGAGACGCGATAGGCGAGATTCCAGGTCCTGTACGACTGGACTGCCAGAGGAACGCTGTTGCTCAGTCTCAGTTGACTTCTCGGGTTCTCCGTCTGGCTGGACAGGAAAATCAGGTCTTTCATCCAGGTCATTTTTCTCACGCTCAAGTTCAATTTCAATGCTGCTGAGTTTAGCGTTCAACTCGTTTGCTTCACGATGCCAAGTATTCCATGTGCCGTATACGTCGTCCAGATACTGACCCTCTTCAATGAACCAATAATTGATGCTCTCCCAGCGTTTGAAGAGTGCCTCAGTAGCTTCCTATAATCAGAACGAAGAGAATAAAAGGTCGCTAGCAAACGATTTGCATTTAAAAACCATGTGGGTTTAACGCACTCTGTCCACACTGATCGTCACCTCAGTAATGCAAAGTCACTACGTTGGGGGATTCGTTCATTGGTGTTATCAAAATCGCTCACCTTTAGGCTGGGCCACATCGTCAATCGAAAGTTGATGGATGCCAGTTCATCTCGTACTTTTCGCCAATGTGTTTCATGTTCTGTCTGTCGTTTACTGTGGGCAGTTCGGATCTCTTCGAAGGCTTCAATTGATTCAGGAAGGGCCGCATGACTAAGCGTTTCAGCCACACGTTCGGCTTCCGCGATGTGTTTGTCGAAATCGGGGACTAAATTGAGGAAGTTAGTTATCTGTGACTGCAGGTTCTGTAAAGAAGCTTGATGTGCATGAAATGCCTCTGCAAGGACTGCCTGTCGTCGATGCATCCCCATCAGCTTGGCTTGAGCACGAGTCACTTCACTACTCAACTGCTGAGTATCTCCTAGATTCTGATCGACTGCATCAAGAGCGGTTAGCTCTAAAAACAAGGAATCAAGGTNAGGAATCAAGTTTCCAAGACGTCGCAATGCAGCCTCGACCTCCTGCAACTCCAAATGCACCGAACTAGACCACGAAGTCACTTCAGCTAGCGCAGCCTTTGCTGCAGACTCCGAAGCACCAAATTCACGCGACGGGACGGCCCCTTCACCAAGTGGCAAGACATCGGTCACCTTGGACAACTTTTCTTCTGCTCCATCCAAGAACTTTTCGAGTTCAACTGAACCAGTATAAAATACTTCCCATTTCCCCTCAGAGGTTCGAAGACGTGCAAGTCTTAAGTTTAAATCTTCTCTAGACTGTCTTAACTCCGCTTCAAGCTTCTCAATCATTTCATCAATTTGGGCTACACGTTGTGGACTGGCTCGTGACTTCATTACATCAGCTGCTGCACGCAGTGCAGCTAAATCAGCTTCGGCAGCTTGAAGGGCTTCGAGCTGTGCCTTAACTGCATCCGCTTGTGCGCGGACTGATTTTTGCCCGGCCTTTGTTGCTTCTTCCACGCTTGCTGCTATTGCTCCAGCCACACCTGAAGCCAAAGAAGCATTTGCCCAGGCCTTTGTAGCTTCGTCGATTCCTAAGGCTTGACAGATTTTGTCGCCATCCACTTTGCCCTCTTCTGACTGTAGCGCCATGACCAGAGCCGCGGCAGCAGTCGAACTAGCCGCTCCCCCTATCAGATGCTTCGTGCCAGCGAGCAAGTCAGTTAGACGCTGTTTCGTTGTTTCAAATTGCTCAAGTGCTTCAGCAGTTTGTCGAAGGCTAGCTAATCCCAATTCGGCACATTTGTCCACCTCCTCCCATGTAGCTCGTAATTCCGTCTCACTCGGCTCAATCCAGTCGACAATGTCGTTAGTCTTCATTCCCAACCCTCTATGAAGCATCGCAGCCAAGCTGGCATCTCGTTCTTCGGCCAGGCGGGCAACCATCGCTTCACGTTCGGCCAAAAGACGGCGTATGGAGTCCAAATCGGTTGGCAGTTGTTCAAGGTCATCTTGCACCGCCTGTTCCACTGCAGCTCGCACAAGCTTGGCTTTGCGTTGCTCCGTAACGGCACTCGCTCTAAACTCCAAACTGTCAGCGATTATCGGGGCTGTTAAAAAAACGGATGCAGAAGTTCAGTTACCAAAACACCGATAGATAATACAAAACAGATGAATCCACTGAAGAAGTGGAAAGTTGTAAAATTAGTGGAACAGTCTCAGGAATTCAGAAACTGTAATGTCGGAAGGATTGAGGAACGATAGCTGCCTACTTCAAAATAAGGTTGTCAGTTCCCTCTACCAAGTGTTGTTTGTTAATTGCTTGAGTGATTACCGCAGGCAAACTGCGTTTTCCGAGTAGTCAGTGGGACAGGATGCCACTCTCAGACGGTGAATTCAAATGAAATTCCGCATGAGTAGCGGGAATACTCTTCGAAAGCACTGCTCCAGTACTTCATGATAAGCTTGACCGTTACTAACAAGTAGTACAAGGTAATGGGTGCTCTGAGGGAGACCCAGCAATTCGTTATCTTACGGATCCGCTTGCGGTGAACCGTTTGTTCTAACGTAGATATAGCTGAATTTTGAAGTAAACATTCCGCAAGGTGTTCATTAGGTCGCACGAAATTCAAGCAAAATAGTTGATTATTCCGTTATTTTTGGTGTTCAATACAGCCAAACTCAAAACATGAGCGTTACTCGCACTGATCGACACATGAATTTAGTCAGCTAACCACGTCACATAGCCATGATCGTTCGTTAAGAATCACTACACAAACGTCCATCAGATTAGAAGGTCAGCGTGCAGTTCACCCACCAGATAAGCGCTTATTGTCTTGAAACATCAACAGCACACTGGTTGCTACGCCAATTTTGATATCCGTGCCTGTTAGTACTCTTAGAGTTACAGTTGGAACCGCTAGAGTTCACCAACCAAAACCTCGCAACCAAAGCACTGTTGGCGTTAAAAACGTTCGCCTCTTGAGTGTATCACTCGTCCCAATGCAACCACACTCAGCTACATCCGTCAGCAACCTTAGTCCCGTCCAGTTGTTAGAATTATAGTCATTGAACTGAGAATGACAGAAACACCGACCTAGCATGTGTGAAAATTGAGAGAAGAGCAGAAAGACGTCCAAGATGACAGGATCGAGACTGATAGTTTCAGAAAACGCTGTCACAAAAACAAGACGGGAAATCGTAAAAATCCTAATGTGATCCCTTGCGTAGCGTGTAACATTGTAGTACTTCCCAGCGCATAGTTGTATCACAATATAACCCATAGATGAGCTATCGGCGCACTGGGCACAAAACTGAACAGAACTCTGTGAGGAGTGATAGAAAACAATTAGTTATGGCATAGCCTCACCCCGGTCAAGTACAACATCCATCTCTGCGCGCAAGTCATGCAAGGATCCGATAGCAGCCGCAAGTACCGCTCGTTTGGTGGCCAGCTCCGTGGCAGACAAACCGCCTTGCATGGACAGATCGGCCAACGTGGCATTCAGCATGTCCGCCAAGGCACCCTGTTCTTTGGTGATTCCGGTCAGTTCCTCAAAACGGGAGAGCATGGCCCTATATCGAGCTGCCAACTCCGTTGCTGAAGCCTCGTCTGCAATCTTTGTATCGTCTGGGTTGGCTTGCAGACGGCGTACTAGGTTTTCCACTTCGTTAGTCCAATCAACCAAGCTGTAGAGCCTGATGAATGTAAGAGAAAAAGTAACCGACACATATGACTACGGGGTTCGTAAAACACCAAAAGTGAGGCGTGACAATCATGATAGACGTGGTAATAGCTGCCGTGTGAATCTGCCGAGAGTTAACTTATTTGCACTGTCCCCATTGACGAAATATCTGTCAGCAAATGTATACGAAAACCCAAGCTACTTGGCATATAAAAACATTCAATAGATTATCCATGGATTATCCAACTCACGGTATGAGGTTGTGGTTAACGGGAGATTGGAAAGGCACCGAATCGGTCAAACCCCCTGAGTTTGCTTCAAAAAGCTAGTGAGCGGCCGCAGTCACGGCATCAGAAGGAAGAAAATAGGCTGATGTGCAGTAGAAAACCAGATGATAAGGTTGAACTGAGTAAATAAGTCTACGTAAGCTCAAAACAACAGCTGCTGCTGCTCCGCAATCGAGATCAAAAAGGACAACGAGCCATGCTGGTCAGAAACAAGTCATTCAAACCATAGAAGTAGTTGAAGGGAACTACGCGGGACAGAGCTTCGTCCCTAAGAATATGCTTTTCAAACTCAGTGTCTGTGTTGGTGGAGAATCAGGGCAGGCTTTCGATAAACCGTGCTGAATTCTACAGTAGTTTTGATAGCTATTTCGGTAATGGGGAAAGTTCGATGATGGTAATGGAGAGTAAACAGACTGAAGGGGCAGTTCATTGGGGCGCTCAACAAGATCTTGCCACCTGGGTCTTTCCGGAAGCCTAGCACGCCCAATTTGTCGCTCCAGAACTGGTTACCGTGAGCTCTCCCATTCATTTCCATCCATCATCGCAAATCGACCAACTAGTATTTCTCATAACCAAAACTGTACTCTCAGCATTATTGGGCGCGAGAGATGTATTCCTACGTCGTTCGGCATCAAAGCTAATCGATATCCGCCAAACTAAAGATCCAGTTAAGTGGCTCCCAAATTGAGGTGCCGCGTCGAATACGTTCTCAAATGTTCCTTCTATAAATCCAACGGTGTCGGATATCTGGTAGCCAAAGCCTACAAGTTAACCAACCAGCCCAAAAAATGAGGTGATGGCACTCGACAGATGATTGTCTGGCGATCAGCTGATCAAGGCCGTTTTCATTAGTTGCGTTTTTGGCATGACAAGTTTTCAGAAAGGCCCGGGTGAAGCGGCCATTCAGACAAGAATAACTCGAGTAGGACTATGTTATTTCGGCTGGTTAACACCTAAAAACGTCGCTCACTGTTATTAATTTCAATTCGCATAAAGATATCACCGAGAACACTAAAAATATTCCGGAACATGATGTGGCTTTAGTGGGATTTAGTCAAGTAGAGCTTGATGTTGATACCAGATTCAACATAAGCGAACGGAGTCATGTGGACGAATGTTGATGACACCCCACGGAAAACCGCGAACGTTCAGAGGGAGAAAATCCTACATTAGTTTCACACCGGACGGGCATGCTCACAGCTCGAGATAAAGCCAAGTTTAAGGTAGGTGTGAGATTACGGATCGAATATTTGTGGCTACACTCCTGACACTATAACTACTCTCGTGCAGAGGCATGGTTACATAGGGCCAGGAGTGTTTATGGCCATTATACGCAATGCGATATTCACATAAGCAGGGAGACCTGTAAACAGGCTGAAAAATCAACAAGTAGGCCACTCGAATCAGCACAGATTGGATTCAGCTACAAAGTGGAATGTTCATGAAAAAATCGTTCAGCCGTAGGACCCCTTTCGGTGCTAACTGCCATGTCACCAGAGGGAAGTCCGAGGGCTGGGATATTGCCAGGTTGCCCAAGCCTAGACAGGGGAAGTCGAAAGGCAGAGGCCGGGTTCGAACCACGAACCTTCTGGTTAGTAAATCCGCACTCTAACCACCTGAGCTCCAACCATCTCGCTCCTCGCCATGTCGTCACCTAAATATATGAGTGGGAATAACCCATGAATGCATCCAGATTGCGAACTCTATGGAAAATGGTCGACGTGTTACTCACTTCTCATCGAAATCAGACCACTGGGTTGGCAGATTGCGCAATTTGACAGCGAGTTGGCCCACACGTTCGGTGAGAGCGTTGAACTCGTCTTGAAGTCGATCCGTCTTCCAACTCATTCGGTTTGGCTCACGCAAATCCAACAGAGCCATTTCTTCACTGAGTTCGCGCATTTCTCGAAGCAATTCTTCACACACTCGACTCACGTCAGATTTGTTGAAAAAATTCTTTTAAAATGTTTTGGAAGAAAGAAAAATTCACAAACCCATGAGAGAAGTTTGGCATATTCAGAAGATATCAGAAGAGATCTCTACAAACCCCACAGTGCAAATAATCCATGATATAATTCCTACATTGAATTAGTCGAAATATTTCACTGTTACGTGTAATCATTTGGTTCTAATGTTCGAAGAAAAATCAAGAACAAGTTTTTTATTGAAGATTTGCGGTTGTTTGTACCAGTTTGAAAGACCTTGTGAAAAACCCCGCAACTACTCACAAGTAGCAAAAACATCTGACCAAGTTAACATCATCCATAAAGCTAGTTGCACGAGCCCGTGAGACAGTCCCGGGGCAGTTAACACAGGAGAGTCTTGGTTCTTGGTAGTCAACCCCAAAGGGACGCATCTCAATGCTGTATCACGTTTGGCAGCTCTCGATTTCAGTTCAGATTGGCTAACAATATAATAACAATGATAAAAATAAATAATGGTTCAAATGTAACACTCTTTCGGTGCCTGACCGCCACACGATTGTAGGGAGGTACGGGGGCTGAAATACTGACAGGTTGCCCAAGAGTATTCGAGAGGCCAGAGTTCGGTTCGAACCACGGACTTGTTGATCAGTAAGTTCGCGTCTCAGCCACTGAGTTATCTCAAGCTCAGGTGAGCGATGATATCTCACAGTAAGTTACGGCAGATTATTCGAAACAAGTTTTAACGTCACAATGTCGTGTTGACCAGTAAGGGTTTCATTCGACTAGAATACCAAATGTCGGAATCCCGGTCTTAGGTAAGTGATGAACAAGTTGACCTCAGACTAAATTACAAGGCTTTACACATCACTCGATTTGAGATGTCAGTACGCTTCGATGCGATCCCTGGACAGGACTTCGAGTATGTGTTGATCAAGTATTGTTCGAACATACTAACTCTGTAGTTCGTACGATTGACTAATCATTAACTACAGTCCATGATATGCTATCTCTCTCTGTCGGTATCGGAACGTACCTCATGGTCCGCGAGGACGGAAGACAGAGATTCACCAGACGCTACACGGGACTCTTCTTCGGCCAGTGTGCCATTCATCAATTCCAACTGTTCCCGCATCAACGATTCCAGCATTGCATAACGTAACTCAATTTGCCCTTGACGTGCACGAGCCAAGACGTCCTGCAGATAGGAGAACAAAGAAAAATAACGAGTGTGTATCAGAGTTTGTTCAGAGTTTCTGCGGAGACAGAGTTCGACGAGGGAAGGGAAGAAAGTGTGATACGATATAATGTACAAAAGGTTGTTTCTAGTTGGAATTCGTCTTAACCAAGAATATCTGTAATGGCATAGCTTAATTAGGGTAAGAAATTAGACAATTCATTATAGAGAACAAAGCCTACCTCGTATCTTTCGCGTAAAACCTGTACTTTGGCTGATGCATCGGATGCCAGGTTTGCTACATCTTCTTCTTTCACAAACTGCTCACTCAGATTGCCGAGGTCCGCAGAGACCGACTCATTATACAAGGCGATTAGTGCCTCGTATTTTTTATTCATGCTGATCAAAGAGGTACGAGCAGGCTCTTGTGATTTGTGGAAAAATGCCTGGTGACTTTCCCATTGATCTTTAAGAAAGTCACTAGATGCTGCCTGTTTCGCATGTTTCTCTAGTGCTCCGAGGTCCATTTGGAGTAGTCGTTCTGCTTCGTTCAGCCAGTCAGTAATTTCCGATACTGACGCTTCGAACGTGCTTTCGGCGGCACGGCGCTTTTCAAGCATGATTTGATAACGACTGGCAGTAGCTCGAAGGATCTATGAAGGGAAGAAGTTGGGTGTTGATTATACACAATCACAAACGGATGGTTGTATTTTAAAGCATAGGTCCTAAATGCGGTTCCATTTGACCCGACCACTAGTGGCCGTTTGTCCGAAACTCGCTGTACTATGCCTCGCAATTCACACAAACGCTAGGAGGCGATTTTTCGTTCCGCGTTTTTCAAAGTGGGACACATTCAGAAGGTGCATGGTACCGGAGTGAATAAACGACATTTGTTCAGGCTGGAAACATCACAAACGAGAGATTCAGCTGGGTTTCAGGTGAGTCTCTCGAAAGAACCAAATTAGCTTGCAAATGAGTGTATATTCGCTAATTTCGTGCAACTTGGTTCCAAGTAGAACATAAGGTTGACAGAAACTCGGGGACTGCGCCTACCTGATGAGCCCCAAGAAGGGCGAAACCGGCCGTGGGCTGTCGACGAATTTTCAGCAACCTTATGAGTAGTGCATTACAAATATAGAAGAATAACACTTACATTAAACTTCCGTCTTGCCTCGGATGTGGCCAGTTCCAATTGGCTCACGTCCACATGTTTCAAACCGGTTGCCTTCAAGTCATTCAGACGATCTTCAACCTCAGTAAGAGTTTTCTCATGCTGCTCCAGAGCGCTGAAATGATTCTAGGGAATAAAGCAATTGTTATGGACATTATTCCATAGAAGTAAAATGGTGGGAAGTAGAACGGTCGGTCTAATTCGATTCATACCAGTAATCGTACCAGCTAACTAGTGTACTACGCGCTACCGGTTTCAACGCAGCATGTGTGCAGCATTCGAGCAGAACTCAGTTTAGGATAACGGTTTTCCCCAAGCAGACGTTACGGTATCGATTCTGCCACTTTCCAAAGGTATCCACCTCTTGAGCTAGTAGACGTGAAACAAACTGGCAGTCAGTGGGTCTCCTACATTCAAGTTATCGTCTTCAATGCATAACTACCCAGTTTATCGAACTAACTGATCACACCATCGCCTGCAATGTTTGACTATATCCCCACACTCTCTCAAACCGAAACTGCAGAGGCAGCAACCAACGTACCATTGATAGGTGGTTTATAGCCGATGAACTGAACTGAACCGATCCACCTCTCGATGGTGACAGGAAGTTACTCAGTCCTGAGACAACACAATCCTTAAAGAGTGAACCAAAATACTGTTTTCTATGGAGGAAAATGTTGATAGCTCAGGCAGCGTAGATGGTCGTTGGCCTGTTCGCTGAGCTGGGCAATATGATTGCAAACGTTTCATCAGTTGTTGTGCACAACCCACCGCTACTCACCACTAGGCTCCCAAATAAAGCACTGATGATGTCACCTCGATTAGTGATGAAACGTTTGCAATCAAATTGCCCAGCTCAGCGAACAAGCCAACGACCAACAACGAATCGATTCTAATAAAAACTATACAGCTGAGTGTGGGAGCCACACTTTATCTAAACAGATATGCTACTTTCTGTGATCGGCGCGTAAATTATTTGACAAACGGGATCACGCTGGTAATACTTGACGGAAATTTCACGTGTGCTTCCGTCCAGTAAGCAATATCTGCAACAGTGAAGTCAAAAGTCCCTCAAACCTAAATCCGTAAATACGGAGAAAGCTTTTTTGATGCTTTCTCCATAAAACTGACTCTGTTGGATTAGCATAGCTGTTCTGTTGGATAGAACATCATCAAAATCAGTATGTACGACAACAAGCCTAACGAGATACCCGGAGTGTACTTGTATTTCGGAATCTACCTAACATCATCCCTTAAAAGGTACATTTTAGTAACTAGACCAAATCGACCTGAATTCCCAAAAGCTTCAATTGTAGGTTTCCTCGACAATGAAATATTAATTATCACATTTAAAGCAACCCAGAAAAAACCTCACCATCAATTTGTTCAATGCCTCTTCGGTTGAGAGTCCACTCAAGTCCAGATTGAGCTCGGCGGTTTCAAAATCACCAGTTTCCACCGCAAACTCGCTCTTCTGCATCCAAGAGTTGACTGGGGCCAAATGCATGGTGAGCTCGATGGCCTTTTTCGTAGCTTCCTCTACCTGTTCCAGTCGATTTGGAACCTCTTCATTAGCCAGTTTGTCAAGACGCACTTTGGCCGCACGAACCTGGGCCATCAAAGCTTCCGCCTCGGACATATCTGCCTCACCTCTTTTGGCTGCCGCCATAAATTCTTCAGCAGCTCGAAGGGCATCCTGAACGGTTTCGAGGTAAAAGAGAGCTGTTAGATGATCCACTTCACCGTTTGCGGTCAAAAGATAATCGTCATTGGAAATGTCTCCGCGAAGCACTTTTGTTTGTCACGAATTTACAATCGGCAGTGTGCATCAGAAAAGCACGCTCGATGTTCCGTCACGAATGTATCCAAAAAGTATGTACACTTTAAGAGTGTTGATAAAATCAGAACCAGGGGGGGAATTCTTGGCTCCAGGTCAGATAACGCCGGGTCAGTCTCCACTGTCCCATCTTTAGAGTAGTGAGCATCACATGGATTCTAAAATGCCATCTGAACCATTGATCATCAGTTGAAACGCCGAATGCCCTATAGTCGGACTGAGGATGGCTTCACAGCGGACTGGTAAACGTCCATTTTTGCACAATGTTTTCTTACTCGTCTGGACAACTACGGAAACAGATATACCTATCCTTAATATGCTGGGGATCAACACCCAGAAGGACACCGACCAAAATGTACCAGGGTTGCGTTCCGGATAATTTGGAATTTCTCAGTAACAGCCTTGAATTCTACTGAGGCATGCCCATCTAGTTCTTCGATCGATCACCCTAAGCTTAATGACTATGCGCTTTCTCGTCAGGTCGCCTAAGTGCGTTTTACTATTTCCAAAGTATTCTTAGCGATATGGGATATAAAACACGCATCCATTAGCGAGTGTGAAGGCCGCATTGCCCTATCCTCCATGTGAGTCTTTACAGTGCTCCTAGGATGAGTTAGCGGGCGTTTCGTGCAACGGTTACATAATTTTTGTGAACTCCAAGTCAACGCGCGCTTCAGTACTCGAGTGCATACCGGATACAACTTGGAAGTAGGAAATTTCAGAATGACGATAGTTATTAGATCACACCATCCAAACCCCAACGACTCGATTAGGTGGCGAAGCTAGCCAATGTGGGTGTTGGAGCTCAGCCAGTATCAGTACTGGGAAGATCAGTGGATAGTGTTTTCACACGCAGTTAGATCTATTTGGCTTTAAACCATATCTATTTGACGGCCTGCCACGATATGGACCTCACAGTAAAAGTTCAAATAGGCGGCAAGAGGAGAAAGCACAAAACGGCTGACGCCTGCGATGGACATGGTCTGGCGTGTCTCAAAGCCCGTAATTTAAACATATGAATTGTCTGGCATGACGAGGATGTGAAAAGCCTCCGGTGAAATGGCCACACTGAGATAATATACCCGCAGGAAATTTCAATCCCCTCCAACGTGCACGCCGGTGGCTAACAGAATAGGTGCCGATTTTGGGGAACGGTGTAGTTTGACACAACGCGGCTATCTAGAACTGTCCTATTCTTTTGGTGTCCATTGCTGAGTGAAGCCCATCACAGGCCAATAAAGTGCTGTCACACCGGTAAGCAGCGAGCCTTTTCGAAGGGTACTGGTAACGATTAGACAATTCAGGTAACAACCTCCATAAGCTGGTATTTAGTCAAGTGTTTGCTTGTGTGAAGCATTCCCCCCTAGAGAGGACTAGATGAAAAAAGGACCGAAGAAAATCAGTGTTCCAAGTAAGGGATTCCTCTCATATGTACCTCATTCTAAAGCGTAATGAAACCTGTTTCAGTATCTGTTTGAAGCAACTCACGTGCTGCAAAATCCCGTCCAATTCCGTTGGGAATTTTTTATTCAAAACAACCTGGATAAGTTTACTTTGAACGCTCCTTTCAAGTGAAGCACACTGCTCAACTCACTCATGGTGGACTGAGCTCTTATCATATTCATGAGACTTGAAAACATCCGGCCGTCTCAGCATACTCGTCAACGTCGTGGGCCAAGTGATGAAATTTCATATATTCATATATATATATATATATATATATATATATA